GATCCTTGCGGTTGAGGTCCAGGGATGCACACTGCGATCGGATCCTTGCGGTTGAGGTCCAGGGGTGCACACTGCGAGGGGATCCTTGCGGTTGAGGTCCTTGCGAAGGAGGAAGGAGGAGGACGAGGAGGCGGAGGCGGAGGCGGAGGCGGAGGCGGAGGAAGAACAGCTGTGATAAAATCTAACAACCCTCACCTGGCAGGTGGGGAAAAACATGGTTTTGACTGACTGGATCCACTCTGTCACTTTGACGGAAAACCATCCACATTGCAATGGTCATCTCGACAGTCAATATGGTCGGCAAGAATGATGAAGCGCAGGCAAGACCAAGCCGCCGGGTCTGACTTAGTCTGGGGTAGAAGTCCTGTGCATCCTGAAGAGAGGCCAGAACCACCGCAGACATCGCCATGCACAATGAGTTTCCAGCCAGGCTGGAAACGATGAAGTAATCCCCCTATGCCCAAGAAACGCAGGTGATAAAGAATCACCAAAACCGAAGTGGCACTCACACACAACGATACCACAAACACATCATTTTGCTCCTTACTGTGGCGCCAGGCAACCCTGGCTGTGCAAGAGCAAATCCAGAAGTGCAAGCACGTGTGGGCCACCGCAATGAAGGAGGTAATTGGACAGCGATTCAGCGAAAGGCCGTGGAATTTGCAATTGAAGCTCGTGTAGTTGTCCCATATCCAACACTCGTAACAATTATCTTGCAGGTCGCTGCAAAAGCAGGATCTGTCGGGACATCCAAACATCTGTGGGCGGAGCGCCTGCGAATCTTTCTGGAAGAACTGGAAGCCAAAACGGGCGATGCACAATTAGCGTCGAGACAGCTGCAAAAGCACTGCCAATGACCCAAAGCAATTTGACTACGCGTCGTAACCTCATGCAAACATAATACTCTGGTTGCTCGGTCGTTCTCATGCGTAGGTACGCGGCAATTCTGGCGGCCTCTTCCAAAGTGGGTTCAACATCCTCCTTGTCATACTTTGCTGCGTCTCTACGCAAGATTGCCAATGGCGAGTTGTCAACCCCCCCATCAGTACGATTCAACAAGCTGGATAAGGTGCTGAAACAAACATAGGCCACGGCTGTCTTTGTCAGCAAAGTTGGGATGACTTTTCAAGAGATCGTTCCCTTGCCTATAGGCCAAGGCTTCCACCATGTTTCCTTTCAACTGCGGACACAAGCGCTTCAGCACCTTCACTGCATTCTTCGCCCCAGGATATGTTGTTTCAAAATATTCGAACCACAATCTGTTCCTTTCCGCGGTGCTTTTGTTGTACCCTCCAAAGTGGGAAAGGTCACCAAATCAAAACTAAAGTGCCCATCAGCTGGAATAACTTCCCACTCCAACTGCAGCTTTTGGTCCTGGAGCTTTTTAGCCCTTCTGCCCACAGACACCTGTCGAAACCGTGCGTCCTCTGCCAGGTACTTGGCAAATTCCTTCCATTCCTGTGAGGTCACTGTAGCACCATGGATTGAAAGTGTGTAATCCCGGTCGCTCTGCCCACATCTCTTCCGGATGGCTGTGCCGAGGCGGGTGGAACCGATGAGCTCAAGGGTGTTTCCTTCGCCCCAAACTCCTGCTGCCACTTCTTGTATGGCCTTCTCCACTTCTTGAATTTGATGAGAGTCTACATCAGGCGTCAAGTCCACAGCCAGCCTGCGGAATCTTTCGCTAAACCCCCACGCATTCACCAAACGCTCGAGAAAGGCATCGTCGTACATCGGCGATTGGAGGGGTCCAGCTCAGGCCCATGGACCATGGAATTGTAGATAGCAAACTATATATACTGTAGCAACACTGTAATTCTGTCTCAAAACTTTGCTTTTTTCTGAGTGTTAGGGGTCATGTTGATGTTTTATGTTTGTCAATTTGTCTCATAATCTGGGAATATCTTAAGGTGCCCTACATGACTGTGCACAACACCTTAGCAGCATGGGGCAAAAATAGGCAATCTCAGATCATGGTTGCAGCCTATTGAAATGCGACCTTACCATTGTAAATCCTCCACAAAAAACACCCAACTTTTGCATGCATCACAAGCGCACAAATTCTCATGCTCCGAGAGTCAAAAAGACATGAATCTTTGATTCTGAAGTCCTTTGTCTCCAGGCTGTCAGTCGCAATTATGCTCCATCGAAATAGTGGATCTTCGAACCACACTTGGCCCAGGAGCCTATATATTAAGGTGTCTCATAGCTTACTTCTGCCAACGGATAGCGCATTGGTCACCCCGGTCGGACATACGTGACTGACGCCATTGACGCCAAGCTGCTGCTGGGGCTGGGTGTGCTGGCCACCTGGGCTGGCTCGATACAAAGGAACCGGGGGGGAAGCACTGTTTCCGCTGGAATGGGTGGCTGGATGCTACCACACAGCCCATTATGCATCCCATGCGATGGACCATGGGTGACCTTACGAAGAATACTGCCGCAGTCTGACTCGCCGCGTTCGCGGGGTCACAGCACGAGACAGTGTACCTTGTACGTGAGGCACCAAGCCTGTTCAAACCTTGTGATACACCCACCCTATGGTTGAAGGAAGAAATCCTAAACCAACTGTTTTTTTCTTATCATGGGGAGACCTCCCAGTTCTACCTCCAAGAAGGAACCCAGCCAGGGCCAGGGAGTCTCCCGATCAAAACACATACTGATACACACCCCACTGTTAAATCATTATATACTCCCAGAAACGACGAAAGCTTTGTTGGTTCCAAGTCTTGTGATCGAGGATGTCTTCTGTTTTTTTTCTTGAGTCCAAAAGAGACTTCGAGTAGTAAAACATACACGGTTGCTGGGCTTCAGCTTGGAATTCAACCGACCAACAAAAGCAACAACAATCGTAAGAACACCTCGGACCTCGAAGGCATCAGTCATTGGCTTTGTTTTTGTACACCCATTCAGGTGGATGATGGTTCTCATTATAAGGAAGTGTCTGATTCCCTTTGATTCTTTCCAAAGAAAGGTGCTGATCAAACTTGGACTCTTCCTTCAGGTCAGATATTTAAACTGATTGACCAAATGTTCCTCACATCTCCCTTTCTTAGGACTCTTTTCTCCCTGCCTCGCGAGGAACTGCCGGTAGCGCCACTGGACCGCCGGCTGCTCCCGCCTCGGCCTCTGGCAGCCTTGGCCTCGGTGTGCGGTGTGGGAGAAACAGCGAAGCAACTTTGGAAAGGTATGAGTTCAATGTGCATCTGAGTTCAGTGGTAGACGTAGATGCTTTCTTGACAAGACCATGAAAGACCCTTTAGTCTGCTTGAGTCTATGAAGGATACACTGATTATGCAAATGTGCAGGAAGCAAAGGGTTCACGATCTGTGGGATGAAGATGCAAGTGTTCTCCACTTGGAAAGTCTCAACATGAGAGTGCGATCCTGCAACAGATTTTGACGATTCACTGGTAGCCACTTCTCTCGACATGTCTCAACGCCTTCCCTTTTCGGGTTGAATGATTGTCCCTCAGCATAGCCCAATGGATGTTCAACGATCCACCGCCAAGCCACCGACGGTGGCTTAGTTCGACTGTTCGACTCATCTTGCACCCAAGCGTCTTGGAGAGTTCGGCCTTTCCAATGGATTCCACCGGTGACGTGGGGCCCCCCTCCAGCGGCGAAGTCACTGGCCTCGTCATTCGTCAAACATTTGTCCCAAGTTGTGGAGGGCGACAAAAAACATTCCAAAGGATTGTTTGTATGTTAACACATGTAAAGACATACATTCCACGAGTTTATTTGTTGTGTCTCGGACATGCCCCAAAAAATAGAACACATATTACAGTATAAGAAAGACACCGTGTCCAAGGCAGTTTGTATCCGTTCGAAAGACTCGCACCGCATCCCAAATAGCCTGGCCTGAGCCCAGACGCCACGCTGGGCGTTCGACTCGACGCCTGCCGACGTGTTGCACCATTCGACACGAAATTACCCCCCGCCGACATGGCGATCGCCTCCAACTTACTAGCAATGGCCTCCATCCTAGTAGCAATAATAGCGTTGACCTCCAACCTCCTAGCAATGGTATCCAACCTACTAGCAATGGCCTCCAACCTACTGCCTCCCACCTAATCCCAATGGCCTCCAACCTACTAGCAATGGCCAGCAACAGCCTCCAACCTACTAGCAATCACCTCCAACCTAGTAGCAATGGCCTCCAACCTACTAGCCATGGCCTCCAACCTACTAGCAGTGGCCTCCAACCTACTAGCAATGGCAATGGCCTGCAAGCTACTAGCCAAGGCCTCCAACGTAGTAGCAATGGCCTCCAACCTAGTAGCAATGGCCTGCAACCTAGTAGCAATGGCCTCCAACCTACTAGCCATGGGCCGAACCTACTAGCGATGGCCTCCAATATAG